AGACGCTGGGTGTGGCACCAGCGTGGGGCACGAGCCTTGGCGAGATCCGCCCTCGAGGCGGGCTCTCTCCCTAGCGTGGGCCTTGCTCTCGGCCACGAGGAGTCGTCCCGCCTCGATGATGGAGGCGCACGACCGATACCAACGCCTCATGTTCGGGACCCCTGGCTACCCCGGACCGTCTGAGCAGGCAATCGGCCACGCCGATTGCCCTCCTCGATCTGGTCCACGGGGTTGCCGGTTTTGCCTCGTAGCTCAACGAGGCCAGCACCCCCACCCGCCGCTCCCCACATCAGTGGTCGACATCTCGACGCGGACCCCCTCCTGTTTACTCCGTCCAAGACCCCCATCTTCGGCTCCTCCCAGAGCCGCGGACTGGACCGCCACCTTCTTTCGGGCCACCATGGCCTTGGGGAGTCGGCCTCCGCCGCGAGCGCCTCTGCGGCTTGTGCCGACTTTAGGAGCCGAGGCCTCATCGCTAGAGGCCGACTCCAATTGCCTCTTCAGGCCCAGGCGAAGCGAGCGCCTTTTTGCGCTTTGGAGTACCCTTCTGGTGCAGCTCCACAGCTGAGACCATAGGGGTACTCGCTCCGCTCCTCTCCGAGGCAGTGTCGGTGTTCGACACTACCTCCACGTTTCTCGCGTCCTCCGCGATAACGTCGCCGGATTTACTGCTCGGCGACGGGCAGGTTTGACATTTGGTGCTCCCCCCAGAATACGAGTGGGAGCTGCCGGAGCCGTTTGGCTCCGGGAGGGATTCCCCAGACACTGTGTGCCCGGTACCCTCCTGGGTAGATTTCTCTGTAGTTGGCCTCATGTCATTTTGTAAGTTTTACGTCCTTCGACGGGGACGCCTTCGGCACTGGACTCCCTCCAGCGACTCAGCCCCTTGCCAGGCGTCCAGAACGTGGGCTTAGAGCATTTTTTATAGAGGTTTACGTCCTCGCGGATCCGAAGATTCCACCGGTCCTGTCCATTCAGGATTACGGCTGGGTCCGGACGGGGTCTGCACCAGACCGGGTCCGGTCCGCCCCAGGGTTTTTTATAGAGGTTGCCTTCCTCGTAGCCCTCGAAGAGCCGTCATTCCTGACTGTTGCCAGTCAGGGTACGACATGGCCGGACGGTGGTCTGCGTCAGACCAGTGTCCACCCACCTCTGGACAGAGCCAGCGGCAGTGGACCCGTCCGCCCCCAGCCCGCCTCTCCCTATGCCCTCTGCCAAACAGAGGGACCATGCGGAAAGCAGCCCTCCGAACAGCCCTTGACAGGCCGTTCCCACCTCGGCCGGAATTGGCCGCAGGCGGCAGCGCCTCTCCCACCTAGGGAGAGAGGCGCTGCCGTCCCCGTTGCCCAGGGTGCACCACAAGGAGGTTCCGGACCACGCACCCCGCAAAATCGGTCCCTGATATCACGCCCAATGCAACTATAAATTACGTACTTCCCGATTATTAGTAATGATTGTATATTATTGTGTAAGACAGTGTAGGGGCAAACGGGCAGACCGGTCACCTGGTGGTATGTGACTTCTGCCAAATTGAGTCTTTGACCCTTTGAGTACCTTGGGGGGTGGGTTTTGGCCGTCAACTAAATAATTAAAAACAATTTTAAAACACATTCCATGAAAGAAATTTAGGTATTCCCTTAGATGACTAATTTTTCTAGATAACAGGTACCCTTTTCCTTAATAATGATTGAGTGTGCAATTTAAGAGCGAAAGCGTAACAATCAACCATAATATCACTAGGTTATGCCCGCGACCTCGCTCTCGGACTTCAGATCAGAGACCAGAGAAAAGAGTACTTTTTATCGAGATGACAGTTGAGGTGTAAATGCGGAACAAATTAACAAAATAATTTTCATATTTATGACATGACGATAAGAATTCCAGTATATACTGTCGTTCATACAGCCTTCAGACTACATATCAACCATCTCCACAAAGGTCGCCGAAGGCTGTGTGATGCGCACACATTAACAAGGGGTTGGTAACGTTCGCTCGTCGTTACACCCCGCCGAGACACGAGGGCGGGTCAGGGGTGCGCTGATATACACGACACTATTAGTCTTTTTAAAGCTTGTAGGTAAATAGTACTTTATATTAGGTATAAATAGTAAATAATATAATTACAATAAAAGTTCATATATTAGTTACGTCTTCAGATTTTAACATTTTACAAACAGACCCATGGGTAAAAGCTAGTGTCAGTAAAATATAATAGAGTGAAGATTGATCACAGGCCAGATAATAATTGTTATCTATACAGATATCAAGCAATATTCGTTGTTTGCCTCCCTAATGGTGCAACAAAATTACTTTTCTATTGACGACTGAGACTCATGACTCTATAATATTAATAATATTTTTAATAATTCAATAATATTTTCACACATCTCACCCACGGCCGTCTGATCCCAAAATAGGTAGCACCTGTACTATGTAACCAGACTGCTGATAAACTTACTTATATATTTCTAAATACATATATACTATAAATAAAGTACACCCAGACACAGTACAAATGACCGTGCTCTTCACACAATTATTTGTCCTGGGTGGGAACCGAACCCATGACCTCTGGCGTAGCATTCAGGGTCTCTAACGACTAGACCAACAGGCTAGTCGTACAATATTTGTGTTTAGAAACAGATGTAGTATATAAAGTACTATTGTGTATCATGTTATTATCAACCGACTTCAAAAAAAGAAGGAGGTTCTCAATTCGACTGTATTTTTTTGGTTTTATTTTATTTGTTGGATGCGGACAGCACAGAGCCGCTTGTTGTAGACTGCTTTGGGAGAGGTCTATATCTAGCAGTGGACGTCTTTTGGCTGAAATGATGATATTAATGAATAAGAATATTTACGTCGTACATAAACTCAAACTGTTTATTTCATAAAAAAATAAAATTGTTTTAAATCGTCTTTTATGTAGACTCTAAAGTCATTGATCAACAAACACACTGGCAACAATCTCTGTTTTGTCAAATTGTAAGCAAATAAATTTAATAAAAATTAAACTTATGCCTGTGCCGATTTTCAACCGCCCGTTTCCAATGGGTTGAGCCTTATGAGAAGAAATGGCAAACAAACTCATGGCCAATATCTACGTATGATGACATGTGGTCACACACTCTTGTATTTATTTCCACAGAAGTAGACAGACATGTATCACGTGCCCGAATTTAGCAAATGAGTTCATACAGCAAAAGCTGGCAGGCTCTGGTGGAGGTAAATTTGTCTCCCACAATGATTTAAATCAAGCCAAGAGTGTATTTAAATATTATCACAGTATAAAATAATAAAACTATTTCTATTTAATAATTATTTTACATCTTGTTTTACAAATAAATGTTGGTATGTTTGTTTTCTACTTATTCCTAAGTACACATGACTTCGCCCTTTCGTTCTCTACTATCCTCCACTCACTCTAAAGGTTTTAGAAAACTCAGGTTTGGGTTAAGCTCGCCTTAGTACATGTGATGTCATTTAATTAACCACAATGTGTAGAATAAAGAATAAATGAAATTATAATACCTTTACACATTGACATGTGTAGAGCTATTATAATTGTGTGTGTGTGTGTGTGTGTGACCACACAGCAGTCTGATCCCAAACTAGGCAGAGCCTGTACCATGATAACCAGACTGCTTATAAATATACTTAAATATTTCTAGCATATTTTTTTTTTGTCCTGGGTGGCAATCAAACCTACGACCTCCAATTAGCAGTCAGGGTGGACAAGTCCGTCACAAAAATAAAAACTTAAATTCATGTTTATACGTCGTTGTATTCATATTTAATATATTTTGTACGAAATCCCAACAAACTTCGCCTCCAAACTTTCCCGACAATTATTTCGTACATGGTTCAGTCTTCATGACCTGAATCCCTTATTCCCGCGAATAAAAGTCAAGTACCATCACACAGCCCTAGTGGGTGGTCCCTGAAGGGGTTGCGGTCTCGCCCCCCTCCACCCGTCCACCCGCCCCTCGCCCCTGGTCTGCACGGATTTGAACGTAATTGTATACTTTCATATAATTGTTTCAGGATGTTTTAACAGGTCGTTCTGTCTGTGTGTTTTGTGTGAAAGATACCTTGTGTTTTGTTTAGTAGAAGATGTTTGTTTAGACTGTTGTGTACTAAGGGTGTGGTTGTGTAATATTTGGGTATGTTGGTTTATTATTTAGTATTATAGTTTGATAAGTAAACAAAATATTTTTTGTGGAATATTTTTTTATAAAATAATAATTATTATTATTTCACGCACTGCAGTCTGATCCTAAACTAAGTAGAGCCTGTACTATGATAACTAGACTGCTGATATACATACTTATATATTTCTAAATTTATACATATCTTAGATAAAATACACCCAGATACAGAATAAAATCAACGTGCTTATCACACAATTATTTATCTTGAGTGAGAATCGAACCCACGACCTCCGATTTCTAAATACATACATATTATAGATAAATTAGACACAGAACAAATGACTGTGGTGATCATACAATATTTGTCCTGGGAGGGAATCAAACCCATTCACTAGACCAACAGGCCCGTCACCACCAAACAAAATACTTTGCCGAGGGAGAGTCTACAACACATATGAGCCTCGACTAGAATGATACCAGGGTCTTACAGAAAAACTGTTAAGTAATTCTTTCGATACTTTTCACCGAGTGAGTGAAGTAACCGAAGCCCAAACAGCCCCTACCTAACTGTTCTAGCTGGCAATGACTTAATTTGAAGGATTTTATTTACAATGCTCAAGATTTTTGGGACTTGTCCACTCTTCCTCGTGACAGTTACGTGATGTCAATAGGAGGCGGTAATTATTTACCATCAGGTAACCCGTCTGCACATTTGCTCCCCTATACTATGGAAAAAACTGACCATAACCTAGGTCCTCAAAAATACAATATAAAGTAAAACCGTCAACTATAAGCGCATCTCCATAATGATATTTAAATTATATACAAAAGTGACGTCAAAAAGTCAAAATGTCCGACAAGTTATTCAGGAAGTCCGCGCGCTGCACGATATTAACAAAGTGCGGCTGCATAATGCATGGCGTGCGGCAACATGACGCTCGTCATGCGGCAAAAACTATTGCCGGGGATATTGGCTTCAGTTTACTATTTTGAGCGATGTTTGATAGCTTTTTTTTTGTTTTTATCGATTGATTGTTTTGCCGTTGTTATTGCCAATTGCTCGTAGAGAGACACTATTTACTGCCCGCTATTCACTGACACCAACCTGTAAAGTGTTACATATTTAGAGCAGAACGATGGACGGTCTTATCGCTGTCTGAAATCTCTTACATATAAATTTGGCTTGTAGTTACATTACTTATATAAAAACTAATAATGAAAAATATACACTTTGCAGGTATATTAGCAGATATCTTTGATGATTAAATAAATTAATCAATCGAATTTAACCTGAAGTTAAAAAAACATAAAAACCGGGTTATAAAAGTATATTTAGTACTATTTGTTAAAAAGATTTACACATTTTAAAAATGGAATTTAAAAAAACAAACTAAAAAAAAGCGTTATTGGGATTTTACGTGGGTAATTTTTTTTGTATGTCTATGATTAACGAACGTAAGTTTAATTTAAAAGTAAATTGTTGATGCTCTAAATGTAACATGTTCGAAAACGTCCTATTCGCTAACATGTAGGCAAATGATATATCGAAATACAAAAAACCCATCCAAAACCCATCCTTCTACAAAGTAACGACACCTTTATTTGCTCACAAACGAATCAATTAACTTCAAATACAGACAAAGCGAGTACGACAAATTAAAAGCAACATACTGTATAAATACAGTACATCAACAACCGAATTTACATTTTAACTGTTTGTAATAACGTTTATATTCGAACGAAGTATCTTTTGTATACACAATGAAAAGTGTATTATAGACTTTAAAGTGGTTGTGGTTAGGTTGATTTTGGCTTGTAAGTAATGTTTTAAAACGGTTCGGTCGGTTTGTCGGTATTGGCTTTCAGTAATGTTGTTTGTCCATGTTCATCGTGAACTAAGCGTTCAGATAAAAGTAAATATTAAGTTTGTTTTCAAGCGTTTCGCTGGTTCGCAGCTTTTCGTGGACTTTACTTTGTAATCTTACCACTATTTTAAATGAGATAGTTTGAATTTAGGTTTGTCACTTTACGCCAGAACGGCTGAACGGATCTGGATGAATTTAAGCACAAAGATAGATGCTGGATTTGTCTCGCACACAAGATTTCATATCGGAAAAATTCATTGACAAATCTACGATAACGCGAGGACGTAGCGAGCAGTAACATAGGGTCAAGGTTCTTCGTCAGTCTGTAAATATTCTATATCTAAGGAAAGCGTAGAGAAAACAAATCATTAAGAAAAATAGGTAGTTTTTTTGTTTTGTTTTTTTTTTAAAAAGAGGATTAGGAATAAATCCTGTGTCGCAGGGGACTTTACAAATATACATGAAACGGACACAAAGAACACCCAGACTCAGAACAACAAATTGTGGATCACACAAAGTGTCGTCCCATGTGGGGTTTGAACCCACAACACTCGGCGTAGTAGGAAGCGGCGTGGCGACCGCTTAAACCACTACGCCATCCGTGCATTAAACAAAAAGATCACAACAATCTACTTTAAGAACAATTTAAGAGAAATTTAACTTTGTTTTGTACATTTTCGCAGGGCTAGTCTAGTTAGGGAACGCCGAATTCATCCGCTTTCATCAAAAGAAAAGTGCAGAAGAAAAGTGATAGCTATTTGCAGAATAAACGATTTCATTTATGTACTTTGACAGTAGGTAGTAAATCAAAGGGAATGCCCACCACAGCTTCTTAAAATTTAGATAAATCTTACAACTCAAACATTATTAAAAACTAACATCATTGGTTTATTTCTTTTAAATTGTATATATTTGAAAGTTATTGAAATAATATAATAAAATAGTTTTTTGTAAGGATCCTTCATGATAAGGTTTCTCATTTGTCCAGTTTTATAGAAATTTTATATCCTTTTCGATTTATTTTTAAACAAAATCACAATTTATTGCTTTTCTTTGCGGTGTTATGGTAAACTATGACCGAGTCTTATCTAGTCACTGAAAAGGATTAGCTTAGCTTAGCTTATATAAGTTGAAGATGGCTCCGGTGAAATAATAAATAATCTTGTAAATAATTCAATAAATGCACATAACAAATAGTAATAACTCAGCGGTAGCCTCGGCCGTACTCTCGTAAATATTACTGGTATATACATATTTATAGTTTATTACAATGTATCTTGATATGTATAATGTAAACGTGAGTTATGTCCACTTGATTCTAGGTGTAATGCTCTATTTTGGTATTACGTAATATTCAGATATATTGCTACAGAAAATTATAATAATGTAGAATCGTCCTTCATCCTGAAACAAAAAAAGAAACGTTCGAAGGTTCATGTTTAAGACTTGAATAGAGACTGATAAATATCAGAAATCAATCAATGTTACTATTTATATACAGTAAACAACCTAAGAAATTTTAATGTTTCATTTAGTTAAATTTGTTTTTACCATATGATCGGCGGCTATACGTCCGTGTGGTGACGGATTAAGAATACGGAGTGTCACCACCCCTATCCATCCCGTGGGTGTCGTAAGAGGCGACTAAGGAGCTAACGTAGGCAACCAGCAACCAGCACTGCAAAGAGAAGGAAAACTTGACACAAACCCTATACCAACCCATCTGGAGAGCGTGGTACAGTGGGCCAAAACCCCCTTTCTAAGGAGAGGCCTATGTCCAGCAGTGGACTATTAAAGGCTGTTAATGTGATGTGATATGAATGCGAAGTTTATTTTTCATTCCTAGAAGCAAAATCTAAGGTCAAGAATGGCCTTAAGTCAAAAGGACTGCGACTAGGGTCTATTTTTGTGCCTCTGCACACTTACTTAAAAGACTACAATTCATTGAAATATAGAATATATTGAATTTTGTGCAGCTTGTACGTACATTGTCAGTATTTTATACAGAGATTTTATTTAGATAAATTGTTCATCAATGACTTTAAGAGACAGTTGATTTCTTCTGGAATTGGCTAAGTACTATCCATTGGGCTTAGAAAAATAACTTTTAGACGGTTCTGAAACATGTAATGTTAGAACATTCCGCGGATCAAAGTTGGAAATACTTAATAACAACGTCATAAAAATATGATAATGTATGTGTCGTCAGCAAATATCGTTAAAACGAATAACTATATACCTACTAGCACATCAAAATAAAGGCCACATAAAAGCAAAACATTGCGACCGCAGCGCTGTTTCATCGCGAATAAAATTGTTTTGATGAAGCGACGACCCCCTCCCCATGGGATGAGGGCTGAAACTGGAAGGGGGTGTAAAAAATGAAATGAAAATAATGATAAAAACGTCGACACCATATCAGGGGAGCGCCCATTCGATCGGGGATGAACGTAAATTGATTTTTGCCATTTTTGTGATGATTTAGAAACTTTGTGTAAACACACCTAGTGCTGAGTAATGCTGCGCTATTACGAGTATTGTTATAAATAAATGAGTATTACACATATCTAAAAGTATTTAAAAATTGTAGATTTTCTGTCATCCCTACTACTAAGTAAAATGTGAGAGTAATTCTGTCAGTCTGTTACACTTTTACGGCTAAACTGCTGAACTGATTTCAATGATATTTGGCATGAAGATACTTTGATTCTTGAGGAATGATTTAGGCTACTTTTTACCGCTATATTTATACGCGGACGGAGCCGAGGGCAAAACCTAGTTGATATTGAAATAATCTTTAATTTATAAGAAGCCTTACACGAGAAAGAGGTAGGCCATCAGGAGAAGTTCGTTATGGAATTGTCGTTATACTAGTGAACTACTGGTACTGCGTTTTTTTTAAATTGACCCTTCTGAGAGCACCAGAAAAATGATATTAAGATATTAGCATAGGAATGTATGGAGTTAATTCTCTTTCTGACGTAAATCTTCTTTTACAGTGAGCAACGGCGCTTTAAGCGCATGCGCAGCGCAAGGCGGCATGGACAAGGATGGCAAGAAAAAGCACACGAGGCCCACGTTCTCTGGACAGCAGATTTTCGCGCTGGAGAAGACATTTGAACAGACAAAGTACCTAGCTGGACCGGAGAGAGCGAAACTTGCGTACGCTCTTGGCATGACGGAGAGTCAAGTTAAGGTCAGTACAAGTCATTCAACATTACCAAAAAATTGACTTCATATTTTTGACAAGACACTTCGTTACTATAGAGATGATGCTTTAACTGACTAACTATCTTTGACATGCACTGATTACATAAAAATATGTAATAGGCTTACGGAATTTACAATAGAAGTGCGGGCAGAGTCAGTCAATCAAGACAATGTTTTTCTTTAACAAGAGAACAGTATTTTTTATGTTTATCGCTTGTCTCTTGGTAAAATTGTGTGTGAAATTCGACTTACAATTTCTTATCCACTTACTTACCATTCATACCATTCAACCATCTAGCATAGACGTTACAAGGAGCAGGAACAATAAAGGTTCCCGAAGTATGAAAAACTGCCTTTTACCTGAGGAAAGCGAATTCACTAGATGATGAAATGCAAGTCGGATAGTAGGCCTATGTTAGGCTCTCGGGCAAGGCCTATGATGGTTATAAAGGATAGTTTAAATATGAACGCTCTAAAAAAATTCTAATGTATTTCTACCTAATTTAATTCACGACACGGTCGCCGCTGATACGACTCGAAATCAACTGTATCCCCAAGCTAAATTAATTTAATGAAGTGTCAAAAGATTTAAGCAATAGTAGGATTGAAACAAAATAAATTAATATCTGTTGTAACCTAGCTCTCGACAGTGACGAGTAGGGTAGAAGCACCAATAGTCGGCCCTCGGTAATCCGATTACACAGATTGAAAAGTCAATCACTTAGCCGGTGGCGGTGCGCGGCGCAATCAAACGCTGCGCTCTATAACTGGGGATTAAACACGGTGACATGTGGACCGAGTTTGTTTTGTTTTATTGTGAACGCCGTTATTTAGTGGCGTGATTCACAGTTTCTGCTATGTTGAATATGACCAAGCTATTTCTAGTTTTGATGATGATCGGGAAGATTTCTTGATGTGGGTATGTAAGCATTCAATTGAAATTGATATGTATACATTTTACACAATGGTCTATCTTTGTACCATATTCACCTAGTTCTGTTTAGACATTCTTGCGTTATTGAATAACTTACATACATACATCCAAATTTATGGATGTAAAGAAAATACACGGTACATATTAACATATTGATAGAATTTTAAACTACAACTTTACAGTATTTATTACTGATTAGCTTTAACAAAGTATATTATACGAAACTATATTTATTTGAAGAACATGTTTTATGCATTAGAAAGTACTAATACTTAATTATCTCCCAACAGTTTATTAAGCATCAAATGCTGCCGTCTTGGGTAAACATGTGTATTTACATAAAAATATGTAGAATAACAAAAATCCTCGTCCCAAGAATCATAAAATTAATTCTTATTCCATAACAGCTACTCAGCTACTATCACTAAATAGTTTTACGACGAATAAATTGCCATCTTAAATTAAGTATCCCTACTGCTACTAAACACGTCATGCAAAAGGATCTTTCAATTAAACCAAACACATAAAATAGGCGTAAAAAGGCGCAGTTATATGGAACTAATTGGGGTGTGACGCGGGGCAGGCCGGGTGAATGGGGCGAGTGGGACTAAACGGTCGGCGGTGAGGGGACGACAACTGCGGCGCTCACCCTACCGCGATGCGGTCACGCGCGTTGCGCTCAAACTTTATTGAATCGCAATGTTTAGTGTTTGTTGTTTAGATTGTTATGTACGTATCAAGATAACTAACAGCTACTAATTGTTATCTATCAGTTAGGTCGACCTTCTTCGGAGAAACTTGCCCCTCAACTTCTCCTTCTTCTCTCTCTAAGCTATAAAGTATGACTATCATCTTTCGTGACACATGGACAATATAATTCTTCTGAATAGACATAAAACGATAGTTATATTGCGTCACTTGCGTTTAATGTAAATTACATTTAGAACAATTGAAACGATTCAAACAAACAATTCAAACAATTCAAACTAACGAATTGATGTTTAAGCTCTGCCTACACTTGTTTTCACTCATTTATCAGATAAACTAAAAAACCACAATCTTGACACGAAAAAAGTTCAACTCATCCTCTACTTATAATTATATAACGCCTTAATAAATTGCTTATACATTCTACAAAGTTTACTGACAGTTCATTATCAAACAAAACGTTCCGATAATGGAATGTCTTAACTAGAATAAGACAGTACTGTGTAATGATGGTTTATTATTCAATCTCTATTCATAATTAGTTGTATTACACTAGTTGTATTATATGGTTGCATTGATAAGAAATCAGGAATAAAACTGACCCGAAAAATAGATAAAAACAATCTGTGAAGTGGTTTGTATGTCTTGTCAAAATTTTGACACGACATACAAACTGATTGTTTAAGTTTTTGAAGAAAACACAAACCAACTTAACATTTTAATAAATGTAGATATTAAATACACTAATAGTGATATTCCTCACTAAAATTACAATTTTATATCCTAATTTCAATCGTATCATATCATATGGTTATTATTTTCGGTACAAAAACACAGGTTATCTACCTGGCTTACCTGGTTCTCGTACAGAAATTATTTTTTTACAAATCGTAAGTAAAACTAAAAAACATCCCCTACCTAGATACATCTCGAGAAAATCAATATCTTAGTCATAACATCTCTTAGTTCTCCGCGAAGAGTGATGATGTTTCCAGCATCTTCCCTTGTTGCCGTTTAATGTGGGGCTTTGATCGTATTATACTAAGTGATACGCGCTGTTAGGGGAGTGTATAGGCTGCCTACACACATCACAACTGTGCAAATTGAATACTACTGACGTGGTTGATAGAAAGTTGAATGCAAGTGCATGGGCGTCAGAAATATAATCAATTGTTTATATACTCGTATCTATACTAGAGACTTATGTTTATTTTTGTTAAGTGTAAGATACATACACATACGTATGTATGCACACAACGCTTATCACCAAGACTGTGTGATATTATAATTACTAGTGATATTATACTTGATATTATTGTGGTTTTCAGAGAAATTTTTCTTCTGTCTTTTTTGAATATGACAACTAAAACTTTTTAAGATTATTTGATAAAATATAAATATCTTTTAACTGTTTTCAACATACTTTATTATATTATTTTGCTGAAAAAAGTTACTTGCATATATTAAAGCATGGTTTGAGTAGTGGTGTACTTATTGGAGGCCAAAAGCCTCGAAGCCTTCATCATCATCAGCCTATCGCAGTCAACTGCTGGACATAGGCCTCGCCCAGTGGGCTTCTGGTAAATAAGTACCTTTCTGACAACGTTATGGAAATTTTCAGTGTGTTGAACAGGGAAGCGTACCTCATTATCAAGCTCATCTCTCGGTGAGCCTCGAAGCTTTTCGAAATAAATACAACAATGATTGGTTCCCCTAAACTAAATACAACTAATTCAGAGACACTTTTGTAAAACTGGCTGTAGCTCAGTATGCAGCCGGCCTAACGTTCAATGCAACGATGCACACAATTCCGCTGAAGAGTGAGCAAACAGAGCAGTCAAATGAAGCGCACACAATGAGATTAATGGACGCAAATGTCGCGAACTGTTGCGCTATGAAATGTTGCTTAATGTGCGCGATTAATATGATGACCTTTTATTCTGAGAACAAATTAAGTTGATAACGGTTTCACTGAGTGTTACTTCAAAATGTACATATAGTAAAATGTAAATTGAACCTATTAAATAATAATGAAGAACGCTTTCAGATATAGACTGCCTCGGCGGTGCACTGGTCGTGTGTGCGACTGCTGTGCTGAGTTCACGGGTTCGATTCCCGAATCGGACCTAATATTTCTTTGATCGGTAAATATTTGTTTCTGCGTAGGGTGTTTTCTATGTATAATATGTATGTATTTCCAAAAAAAAAGTATTCTATGAGTCAATCTAGCTTCAATACATACAATACAAATACATCAATAGTACAACCTCTGCTTAGTTTGAAAAATATTTAGGGATTGCAGGTAATAGCCTATTCGAGTTACAGATATGTCACCCTTGCCTGCCACTGCTTACACTCTTAAATCCATCCATACTTCAGCCTATTGCATCCATATAAAGTACTAATCCTTCCCTACCTTACCTATTTGGCTTCCAATATTACTCCCATTTTTCCTATCTTTAACTCCCAAAGAACCTGGTAATCGACTTGTCTCCTATTATCTGATTGGAACCAAATTAACTTTGGTAAAAATGAAAGTTTAATGCGGCTTTGCCTACCCATTGGAATATAGAAGTGATGACTGCACGGATGGTGTAGTGGTTTAAGCGGTCACCTCACCGTTTCCCACTACGCTGAATGTTGAAGGTTCGAGTCCTATATGTGACAATACTTAGAGTGATCCACAAATTGTTGTTCTGAGTTTGGGAGTACTTTGTGTCCATTACATGTATGTTTGTAAAATCCCCCGCGACAAAAGGACATATTCCTGGTTGCGGGAGCTGTATTATAAAAAAAAAAGAAAAGAAATTAGTGTATTTCTGAAAGTATAAAGTTCACATCAAAATCTTAAAACACTTCAACATATATTTTTCAATTCTCATTTCACGGCACATCATTCCTTTCCTTAATCTTTAAAGAGTCCATTCCCAAGAGTCTCTATACCTCTTCTTCTTAATCTTATGAAAATAATTGACCCTCTGACGAAAAACAGCATTTACTCTTATAAAAGCTGTTTACATACAAACCAATTATAATATTCCAACACAAAAGTAAAGTCAGATCAAGTTAGATTTCAATTCAAAATGCCTTGTATTAAAGTGCTCCAGTAACAGTGACATTGTCGTCTACACATGATCTGTTACCCACTGTATCAAAGCATTAGAGCTCATAAGCAACCTAATGGTACGAGTATCAATAGCGAGCAACAATCCTTTATACTAAACGCATCACAAAGCGCATTCACAAATTGGACTCAAACGCCAATGGGGAACGAAAACCACTTCATGTTCACCCACATTAAGTTCAACAATCAACTTTATTACTTCGAAATAAGAGTGTAGCTAAAAGCAGATTTGTCGTTCTTTTTTTGTGATCCTATT